CATGGCAGTATGGTTACTCCCTGAATGAGTGTAGGTTTTGAATTCAGACCTGGGTTTGTATTCTGCCTCTCCCACTCTCAGCTGCATTATTCAGAAGCAGTTATTTAAATTCTTTGCGCTTTTGTTTCCTCATTTGTAAGATGGATATAAAATAGCTATCTTGAAATGACATTGTTAAGAAGAAATGAGGTGATGTACATAAGGTACTTATGGCCTGCCTGTATAGATAGGAGATGTTCCTTCATTAAAACCCGGGTTCCCTGAGATGGCATTGTGTATCATTCTAAAGGAAGGGGCTTCTACTGTAAAAGCGTTGCTAAAACCGGTCAAGATTTTTCTTCTTTATGAAACTTTGGGGAATGGAAACAAGGAAGTCTACCAAATAAACTGAAAAAATAAATCTGGATTTAGCAGTCATAAAGATGGAGGAGTTAAAGGTTAAGCTGGAATGGGACAGAGATACAAATAAAGATCTTTTATTTATCTGTGACATGTACATTGATCCATCTCTCTGTGGGTGTTGGCAAAAGACAGAAAGGCTGTGTTGCCTCTTCATTGGGACATATATTTTTTTTCATTTTTTAAATGTTTATTAATTTTTGAGAGAGAGAGAGAGAGAGAGCGTTCAAGCAGAGGAGAGGCAGAGAGATGGAGACAAAGCAGGTTCCAGGCTTCAAGCTGTCAGTACAGAGCCCAACACGGGGCTCAAACTCACAAGCGGTGAGATCATGACCTGAGCTGAAGTCGGATGCTCAATCAACTGAGCCACCCAGGGGCCCCTTCATTGGGACACCTTTGACATGCCCTCACATTTTGACAGCAGATGAGCAAAAATCCTGCTGAGAAACTTACTTTGCATTCTTTTAATATTTTTATTTACTCAATCAACTGCACAGTGAAGGGAAAACATAACATTGTTTACATTGTTGACATATAAATATCAATAGAATAAAAATAGGAAACAACAAACCACATATACAAAAAACACCTAAACCAAGTCATTGTTTATAAGCTCTTTCTGTATCACTATTTAGACAGAATTAATTTTATGTAGCTACCAATGTGTGTATATGCCATTCCAAGTTCTACTTTTGGCCCACTAATTTTTTTTTAATTTTTTTTTTAACATTTATTTATTTTTGAGACAGAGAGAGACAGAGCATGAACGGGGGGAGGGGCAGAGAGAGAGGGAAACACAGAATCGGAAGCAGGCTCCAGGCTCTGAGCCATCAGCCCAGAGCCCGACGCGGGGCTCGAACTCATGGACTGCGAGTTCGTGACCTGAGTTGAAGTCGGATGCTTAACCGACTAAACCACCCAGGCGCCCCTCGGCCCACTAATTTATATAGACTCCCCTTATTTCTATAGTCTTCATACTTAACAGTCCAAGTGGGAATATTTATATTGATAAATTCCATATCACAAGCTATGGAGTTGGTTTTTTATTCTAAAATAAATATGTATTCTGTATACATACTCAATACTATTTCGATACAAATTCTCCTCCCCTTGTCAAAAGCTCTGATAAATATTAAGAGATTTATCATCTTTTACCAAATCACTCTCTAGAAAGATTGTATCAATACTAATCAGGGCCCCCAGCATGGATAAGTATGCCTGACGTGGAATTTTCCCCATCTTCCCCAACAGTGCATTTGTCATTTTCTTTTGCTAACTTAATAGCATTTGCTAACTTAATGACAGTGAAGTGAGTATCTTGTAGTTGTATTAATTTTCAATTTTAAAGTTGTAATGAATGTGAACATTTTCCGATTTTTAAAAATTGAACTATTTCTATCTCTTTTGTATGAATTATCTGATCTGGGGGTTGGCACACTATGGCCCTTGGGCTAAAAATAGCCAACTGCCTGCTTTTAGAAATAGTTTTATTGGAACATAGCCATGCTCATTTGTTTACATATTGTCTCTTACTGCTTTTGAGTTATAATGCAGAGTTGAGTAGTTGTAACAGAGAAAAGTGTAAAATATTTATCATTTGGCCCTTTATTTTTTAAAAAAATTTTTAACGTTTATTTATTTATTTTTGAGACAGAGAGAGACAGAGCATGAATGGGGGAGGGGCACAGAGAGAGGGAGACACAGAATCAGAAGCAGACTCCAGGCTCTGATCCATCAGCCCAGAGCCCAACGCGGGGCTCGAACTCACAGACCACGAGATTGTGACCTGCGCTGAAGTCAGCCGCTTAACCCACTGAGCCACCCAGGCGCCCCTCATTTGGCCCTTTACAGAAAAAGTTTTCAGACTCTAATCCCATCTCTCAGCTCTTATTCATTCTTGTTTTTCCACACTCTATGCTGCATCAATATCAAACTACTTGTAGTTTCCCTCATATGATAATTTATACTTTCGTGCTGTTACACATGCTCTTCCCTCTCTGGAATTTCCAAACTCCACTCTGCCAGGAAGGTTCATCCTTCCAAACTGTCCTTGACAGGCACTCATGCTACAAAGCATTCCTTTTAATTCCCATTTAAAACTTTACTTTTTGTTAGATGATATCAACTGTATGAGAATCAAGAGAACAATGCCTGGGAAAGCACTTTGTGAAACTAGGAGGTGCTATACAAAAGTAACAACTAATAATAACTGTGGTTATACTTGTCAGTATCAATGTCCACCTTTGTCTCTACTTTTATTTCAAACCATTTACAAGGAGCTCTTTAGACCAAAGCACCTCATTTGGCTCTCATGGAGTAAAGGATCTGATACCTTTTTCATAACCGCCTTTTATTAAATATCAACAACATAGGTGCCTGGACATGTCATTTTGGCAACACCAGAGGCTAGTTCAGATTAATTATTATGTGTCTCATCAATGATTGAATAATCATTAAGGTGACTCAAACATCAATCAACCAACCAAACAAAAGAGTCTGACTCTCTGAGCGGTCCTTCTATTTCATCCAGAGAACAAAGGTTGGAATCCTACAGAAACCATAGATAGAAAATCCTGAGAAAATACACTAAACCAAAAAGCCATTCTATGTATTGGTTGTAGGTAATTATGCAAAAATCAGACAAGAGAATACTTTAGAGAAGAATTTCATCTATCCAGAAAAAAAAATCTGAACTAAAATATAAATTATAAATCCAAAACAATGCCTAGAGTCTCTGGAATTCTACTTATTTTTCCAATATATCTACTAGAACATTGAGGACATAGATCTACGTTACTATATCTATATGTCTGTATTGTGTCTGTATCTATATATCTCTCTAGATAGAGAGGGAGATAGATTTCTTTAATGGGGCTGCATCCCTCTGCGTGTTCCTCCCCTCCTTAGGAATCAAAAACATCTCAAAAAAATATTTTCAGGAAATATATATGAAAACTAATACAATGTTGCAGGTGGTCATATGTGTGTGTGTACTAATACAGTTAACTAATTTAAACAATGATTTCCGGTGAATCCAGGAAAGAGCTTAGAGATGTGCTTTGTGAAAAGTTTAATATATGTGTTGAAAGATAGAAGGTTATGGTTCAGATTACGCTGAGTGAAAGCTTGGGCCGTTAGGAATGCTGAGTTCCAGAGACAAAAGCTTTTAGTTCTAACTGCATTTCTGGAGAGGAGGGTGCCAGGTTGTTCACCACTTCCATTAAGGAACAACTACATATTTTAGTGGTGCCTTTCTCTCACGAAATGCAATATAGAGTAAGGGCAAAAAAAAAAAAAAAAAAAAAAGCAAAGGAGGAAATTTGTTATTGATTTTCATTTCTTCTGCGAAATTACATGAAAGCTCAATGGCTTGTAGCAGTATCTCAGTCAATAAGGCTCCATTTGAGACCACCTTGAAGTTCAATTCTCTCCCAGTCCCTTTAAACTTCCTCTAGTGTCAGATTCTTTTGTATTTAATTGTCTTTGGTGCTGAGACACTAGGAAGCTTTTTATCCATAACACCACAGAGAGGATTTTGCTAAAAGCAAAACTGTGAAGTATTCCCAGACAACTAAGTTCCACTCCTCCTTTTTGGTTAAAAATCAACATTGCTAAAAACCAAATCTGAAAAGCCAAGGAAAAAAAGAGATGAAGAAGGTAAATAATAGGATTCCTTATTGCAAAGTGATTTTTTTCAGCATAAGGGTAGGAGTAGGAGAGAGTCATTCATGTCAGACTCACCATTATGTGTGTGCACATTTTGTTCATAATACTTGCTAACATTTGTTGAACATTTACTGTGTGTTAGATAGTGTGCTAAGTCTTTATATGGTTTCTGTTCCGCAGGGAAGCAATAAGTCGCCTGTGTGAAGCTGTCTCTGGGGCAAATGGAGCCGTTAAAAAGCGAAAGGTAAATATTGGTGTAGTTTCTCCTTGTTTTATGTTTCCCTAACTATGGGGAAGAGAATATCAAAATAGTTGTTAGTTCATTCTACTATATGAGCTAAGGTCCAGAATGGCCTTTATCAGTTGGCATGATCAGAGATGCACTGAAAGTTGGTCTTATCTCTCAAGTTTTTCTGACTTGACTGACACTGTCTGAAATGGTGATGCCTGGGGTGACAGAATGAAGAAAGTACCTGGGTTTCCAGTAAAAAATTCTGGGTTCCAGGCCTGGGTGTTTACTCACCTTTGAGCATGGTATGTCATCTCTCTGAGACCCCATTTTTGTTCCTGTAAAGTTAAGTTGAACTGGATGACCAGTTTGGCATCTTCCAATTTTCAATACTTTATAATGTATCTATTCTTCATTTTAACATTTTAGAATTTTTAGATTCCTTAGCCTATTTTCAGATGGAAATGCGGGTGGTAGTAGAGGTGAGATAATAACGCGTGAGTAGGAGATTTTCATGCTGAAAGAAAGCAAAAGATTTGATGTTACATAGGTTTAAATCCTGCCTCTGCCACCTACTATGTGATCTTGGACAAGTCACTTCACCTTTTGGATCACTGGTTTCCTCATCTGTAAAGTGGGAGAAAATAGCACTTACTTGATTGAGTTGTGTAGAATTAAATAAAATGATGTCTACACAGTGTTTGGGCGTATATTAGGCTTTCAACTCTAATGGTAGATAGAATTATTGCCATTTAATTGTCAACCCAGAACATTTAGTTGTTTTGGAATGTCCAAAGGAGAGGTGCAAAGGTTCTTAAGATAACTATATAAATCATAGAATAGAGAAGGAATGTTTAGAGATCTTCCAGATCAACCCTTCCATTTTGCCAGATACTAAACTGTCTCAGAGAAGAGATTTGCCTTGAGTTACTAGGATGATGAAGTTTAGAGCCAACTATAGAAGCCAGGTCTTCGTATTTCCAGCTTAGCGCTTTATTTCCACACCCGCCTGCCTCATTCTTTATTATTCTTTATTATTCTTCACTAGTTTGCATAGGGCCGAACCCAGTGTCACCCAGAGTGATTCAGATGAGCCACATGGCATGGAAAACACTAAGTGTTAATAAGTGGACTTTGAATTCTATTAGAACTCCCTATTACTAGTTACTTTGACAAAACCCATGGCCCCAAAGTAGCCTCTGGCCTCCTCCTGCCTCTCATAACCTCTGCAAATAGGATACTTTTTGTTGTTGTTGCATGATCCCAACAAATAGCCTCAATCATTTAAGACTTTCTCATTTCAGAAATGGGGAGTCTACTCCCCAAAACAAAATAAAACAAAACAAACCAGGCTATCATGTTTCCAGAAAGTACACATGGAAAGAAAAAAAAAATCTTGAGTTAATTTCCTTTGATAGCTAGCACTTACTGCATACTTACTACACGCCAGGGACTGTTCTATACACTATGTTTTTATACTCTTTTTCCTCCTAATTTAAAACATTTGGTAAAATATGTGTAACATAAAATTTACCATTTTAACCATTTTTAAATATACAACTCAGTGATATTACATACATTCACATTGTTGAACAACCATCACCCCTATCCATCCCCATAACTCTTTCCATTTTGCAGAACTGAAACTCTATATACATTAAACAATGACTTCCTATTCCCCATTTCTTCAGCCCTGACAGCCATTGTTCTACTTTCCATCTCTATGATGTTAACTACTCTAAGTACCTCATATAAGTGGACTCATACATATTTGTCTTTTTGTGACTGGATTATTTTCACTTCACATAATGTCCTCAGGATTCATCCATACTATAGCATGTGTCAGAATTCCCTCCCTTTGTAAGGCTGAATAATATTCCATTGTGTGTGTGTACCACATTTTGCTTATCCATTCATTTGTTGATGGATACTTAAGTTTTTTCCATGTTTTAGCTATTGTGAATAACACTGTTATGAATATGGATATACCAGTACCTGTTCAAGTCCCTGCTTTAAGTTCTTTTGCGTGTATAACAAGAAGTAGAATTGCTAGGTCATATGGTAATTTTATTTTTAATTTTTTGAGGAACTGGGAACTGCCATACTGTTTTCCAAAGCAATTGTACTCTTGTACATTCCTACCAATAGTGCACAAGGATTTCAATTTCTCCACATTCTAACACTTGTTATTTTCTGTTATTGTTGTTGTTTACTAGTTATAGGTTTATCTAGATTTTCTATTTCTTCATGATTGAGTCTTAATCGCTTTAATGTTTCTAGAAATTTGTCCATTTCGTCTAGGGAATCCACTTTGTTGATATGCAGTTGTTCATAATACTCTCTTATAATCCTTTTTGTTTCTATTGAATTGGTAGTTGCATCCCCACCCCACTTTTGCTCCTGATTTTAGTGATGTGAGTCTTCTTTCTTTTTTTCTTAGCCCATATATATAAAAGGTTGGTCAATTTTGTTGAACTTTTTGAAGAACTAACTTTTGGTTTCATTGATTTCCTCTAGTTTCTAGTCTCTGTGCCATTGATCTCTGCTCTAATCTTTATTATTTCCTTCCTTCTGCTAACTTTGGGTTTAATTTGTTCTTTTTTTGAATTCCTTAAGTTGTAAAGTTAGGTTCTTGATTTGGTATCTTTCTTCTTTTTTAATGTAAGCGTTTATAGTTATATATTCCACTCCCCCAAAGCATCACTCTCACTGTGTCCCATATATTTGATATGAATGTTTTTTGTACTTTTATAAATTATCACAAAAAAATACAGCAACTTTTTCTTTTTTTAGACTTCTGGTTTTCAAAAGGATTGGAGAGTTCAGCTAGCCCAAACTCTCACAGGAATTCCTTTTATATAAAGCAGGCCCTACTCCCAACACTTGGGGAGAAGGGAATATATGAGAAAAGTTCTGAGGGCTCAGATTTCACTGCTTACTAAAGAATTTGCTGCATTCCAATTTTTTTAATGTTTTCATTAAAATAAAACATTCAATCTCATTTGACTTGTGTAAAGTAAAATAGGAAGAGTGTGTGTTTTGACCCATTTTTAACACTTAAAAAATTAATATTCTCCTGTAACAAAATCCTTAACTCAGAGTATTGTTTTGCTATTTTTAAAGCCTCCAGTTAAGTTCCTATCAACAGTTCTTGGCAAAAGTAATCTTCAGTTTTCGGGAATGAATATTAAACTGACCATCTCAACATGCAGCCTCACGTTGATGAATATTGACAACCAACAGGTAAGATCATGAATGTCATTTATAGCTTAACGTATCATCTATTTTTCTAGAAGAACCTGGGCATAATAAAGAAAATAAAGTTTCAGACAAAGTGTGCTTAAAATTTAGTTAAGGCACAAGGGAAAAAAATCTGCCAAGGATTTGTGAATAACAATAATTAGAACAACAGTATTACTAACTCATCACTGCACTTAACTGCTTGCGTACTTGCCTCAACCTAATTGGCTTTGTAATAGGAACTAAGGTGCAAATAACTGGTAAATACCATTTGGCAACTCATATTCTTGAGTCAGTTATTACTCTCCACCCGTGCTCCCCAAAGGGAAAGCAATTCCATTATCAGAACTAACAGACTGTGTGTTGGATGGGGTGCAAATGAAGGACAGAGGGGAAGGGTGATTTTAGGGTTAATATTCTAGTTAACTGAAATTTAAGCATAAAACATTTTCTTCCAACTCTTAAGCTTGAAGTGCTTTGTAAAATATTATTACATAAACACAGTTTCTTCTTCTTTGATGATGTGTGATGCCATGGTGTGCCTGAGTTCTCATTGTGAACCTTATTTCTCAAAGAACAGCATTGCTGAAGCAAATACAAAAGATATACAGGCATTGGGCTAAATGTGTTCCTTAAACTAGGCTACTCTTGACTTGCTTTTTATGTTTTAAACTAAATTCCTCATATCAGATTATTTATGGGTGTTAGAGTCTAATTTTTCTTGGTTTAATATGTAGTGATTCGACGTTCTTAGTATTTAAGGTTTTACTGTATGGGATACTGTTGAACAGGGACTCATGGAAGGTTTAATGTGTAGTTGGCTCTCGGGCTTTGAGGTCACATATAGGTTGAAATCATGGCTTCACCACTAATGAGCAAGTTATGCTACCACTCAATTTTCTTCCTTAGTGAAATGAGATTATAGTACCTATTCATAGTTTCTGAGAGGATGGATTTAGCAATAGTATATGTGTCACTGGATTATATACAGGATTAAGTAAAACCATTGATGTAAATCACTTAGCACAGAGCCAGTCACCCAGTACCTATTATTATTTACTCAAACATTTTTCCTATTTCCTTGAGACATTTTCATAAAGTCAGTACTTAGCAGGGAAAGCATAAAACATAGAATCATAAAATTTTCAGTAACATGCACGTAGAGTTATATACATTTTTTTCTCCAATGTTTTTGCCAAAAACTTGCAGTTTTGAGGTCTGCTTTATTTTCTAAATTCAAAAGCAGAATAAAATACATTGCTTGCACAGTAGTATAAACCACCACAGGATAAAATACTTAATATAAAATAGTTCAAAATAGATTTCTGTCTCGTTGGGCCCTGATTGGTTATCTAAGAGAGGTGATACCATTGGTATAATGAGAGCAGAACATTTGAGGCTGTACTTGGAAGATGCAACAAATCTAGGTGGAAGGTGAAGCAATCGTTCAGTCTTTCAGATGCTTTGCCCTCAAGATATTTGTAGATGTAAATTTTAGTTTTAGTTTTCACCCATGTGTGTGGTACCAGGGGTGCTTAATGCCTTTAGGTATGAGATCTCATTGAGTATAGAAGCACTTGAATTATCTCAGAATTTTGTAGGGGAGGAAGAGTAAGCAAATCTACAGCCGTCCTGGTGACAGCCTTCTGTGCAGAACCTAATGAGCATTAAAAAAAAAAAAAAAAGTTCTATGGGGTGACTGAGGAATTAGGAATTTAGGAAGAATAGGGCTGTGGTGTGTGGTAGGTGGCTTAGTTTATTCTCATTTCTTTCTCTCTTTTACTACCCTTTTCCAGGCTACTGTAATTGGAAGGGGTATTGTCACATGCTCATAATCTTTCTGGCAGAATATGTAGGGACATATTAATAAAGTAGGGACAGGGCACATGGGTGGCTTCCACTACCAGCAGTTACAGCAATGAGTGCCTCTGGAGGTGGGACATCTTTTCTGCACTGGTAGCAGGGAATGGGGTTGTGCTGAGCCCACTGCTGGAGTGGGGACTAAAGTTAGAATCTCATTGACCTTAGACCCAGGCCCTGATTTTTAAAAATAATTTTGAACTATTCTGCAGGCCTGGAGGAAACGGCCCCTTCATTCCTCCCTTGGTGGAGGGAGGGCATATAAAAAAAAAGATGTGCCACTATAGATGCTTCAACTCAAGCTTTATAAATCCCATTAATAGGGCAACTAAACTGTTCAAGGGAGAAGGCAACAGAGAAGTGACCTTATAGATGTAGCAGGAGAAAATGATTAACTCAATCTTCCTTAAAGAAAGTTACCCTTTTAAGTTTTAAGATAAATACCAAGAAATACTAATGTCTCCCTTCCCCTCCCCCCAACTCCTAAGATATACTTTGGACTGAAAACATAAACAAGTTAAAATTGATAGGTACATTCGTAGATGGTAGAGCATTTATGGGTAGGATGGTTCACATTCATCTTCAGCCACTGAGAACAACTTCAAGAATATAACCATTCACTCCCAGAAAATGTCTTAAAGAACCTCAGAGGCAGAAAATAAAATTATATTAAACACATAATGCTTGCGATTTTTAAAACTTGCCATATTTTGGGATGGGAAATACATTTTGGAAAAGCAAGTTCTAGGGAGTTTTTCTATATTCCTTGTTTTAAAAATTCAAGCAACAGACTTCCTTGATATACTTCAATACGTTAAGGATGTAAGCAAAAATATCTGACTAGCTTCCACTCCCACTATTCTTTAGTCATTTCTACATTCCTACCACCAACTCTAACAGCTAGTGAAATTTTACTGAGAGTAATAAAGAGATAAAGAAGGTAAAACAGGCAGAAAATGGAGATATCCTGTAGTCTCCATGAGGAGAGGGAACTTCAAATATAGGGAGGCCAGGCAGACAATGCTAACTGTGCAGGTACAAGAAAAACAGTGGTGCAAGCATAATGATATATGGTGAGTGCCACTTGGCCTCCATGTTGGGGAGACGATACTGGGAAACATGGCAACAGAGTATCTTCCGATTAGAATGGGGAATTGGATGCTTTATCCCACATAACTATTGGTCAAGGGCTACCAGATCTTCAACTTTTGGGGGAAAAAAAAAGATGGAAATCTTGGGAGTTTTGTTGCTCTATCATGATTATGAGATGTTGGTCTTTAATGAAGAATTGCAATTTTAAGCATGAGCCAAACACAGTAAGTCTGTGTCCTTAGGCCAGCCAAATGCGACAGTCTGATATAAGCAAACATTTATAATGTAATACTATATAATAATATATGGATAGATCCAGAAAACTCCCCCCCAAATCACCCTATATACTCATAAGCTTTTTAAAGTTCTCTCTACCCATTCCACATCCCCACCCACTCCCCTGTTCGCAAAATCAGGACCGGAATCGCTATAGAACTCCTTTTTTAGTTCCCATTTAGCCAAGATTTGAATCAGCTAGGCTGTTTCCAGTACGTGTTAACGCTTAAAAGACATAAAAAGTGATTTTACAATTCTAAAAGGGGTTTCTTTAGTAAATACAAACAAGTACTAATTTCACTGCTCTCAGATTACTGCCTGTTTTTCCAAGACCAAGGAACCAACCATCAGAAGTCAGTTGTGGAGTCCAGGTCTTTATCCTGTAAATGAGCCTTCAGGTCCAACAGGGAGCAGTTTTCTTTTCCTTCTTCTTGCTCCCTCCTTAGTCTCAGAGAGGAACCTAATCACAGATTTCCTAATCACACTTCCTGGTATGAAGACCAGTTTTTGATTTCCTGACATCTTTATCTGGAGGTAAATGCAATTGGTCAGTGCTCCTTGTGTACTGGCATCCTTCTCCACCCCCCCTGCCCCGCCCCCACCAAATTCAGTTAATTCACATCATACAAGCAATTATCTATCCAGATGCATCTAACTGCAGCTACAAGCCTTTTGAAAATGTAATGAAAGTGAGTCATGAGAGAGGCAGGATGAAGAGGGTTAAGTGCTAACATCTCACCTCCTGTTTGTTTCCCCATGTATCTATCTATCCTTCTCCTCACCAAGCCTAGTGTTTATAACCCTCAGTCCATTTTTTTTTACAGAAAAGAACCCACTCCCTAAAAGGTGACTATAACATAAATAAGGTTGAGTTGTGCTGTTGTATTGGATGTGTCCTTTACTGCCATAAGGTCTTATTGATCTTAAGACCTACTGATGTACTGTTTATTGAGCACAACTTTCTGACACAATTTTTAGTTTTATGCAACTTCAGAACCTCAATAACCACAGCAATATGTTCGTTAATACGACAGGTTTTCTCAGGCTAGCAAATTCTCTTATAGGAATTTACAAAGTTTAATATCCACAAATTAACTTATGAATCAGGTATTTGAAGCTGGAACACTTTCCCATGTAGTGGTTAAATTTAAATCATAAAGTGGTTTCGGTAATAAAATAAAATAGCATAATACGATAAAAAGTAGGATTTCAACAAAGTATGTGAACAATACTATTGGCCAAACAAACAAAATACACAGAACAAGAAATTTTATTATCTCGAATGCTGGTGCATAACCAATAACAAGCTTCATTAGAGGAGGAGACAGAGGGAAACTTCAGATACTGATGAGGATTTCTGGGCAGGTTTAAAACCTTTAAAGATTGAGGGCATAATTGTTCAGTCTTTTTTTAGATGCAGGGCTTTCCTTTTACTTGACATTTTCCCTTTGACAGTTCTTATGTTATGAAGTTCAACCAAAGTCTTTCACCTGTAAAGTTAAATGAAAAACAGAGAGCGAGTAAAACAATTTCTCTAGTATAAGAGTGTTAGAAATAGTTTTGTTTTCTTTGTTCTTTCACATATTTTTTAATATCTAAATTTGAAATTTTACTATGGATATTTTTGAGTTTTAAAAATGGTTAAGACAAATTTTCTGGAATTATGGATCATAGTAGCTTTATAAATCATCAAGATACATGGACAATAAAAATTTCAGATGCTCTTGAAAACACATTTTGAGATATAGCACACCTGATACATATTTCTTTTTGGGTTTGCTTATCCTTTTCGGATACTGAAGAACACCCAATTTATTTTACACTAAAAAAATGCAGCCTTTGATAATTGGCTTGGATAGACCATAAAGTGGAATCTTCAGAGTTCTCTCAGTGGGCTTTCAGTCCAAATAACTCAGACATCTCGTGTCCTAAACTGGATGTATTAGTTACTTTTTCTCATGTAATTAATATCATTGGGCTCTTGTATTGGCAGTTTGTCTTGACATTAACTTACTCTCGCAAAACCATCCCTTACAGTGAAGTATGAAAGATATTTTCCCCAATGCAAGGAGAATAATCTGGATCAATAACAAAGTCAAAGCCACAGGTGTTTCAGGAAGGTTCTTGAAAACAGATTTCCACAGTCCTAAAATGCCTTTTCTTCTTTAACAATTTTTTCTTTTTCATAACTGTGCAGTCACTGCCCTATTCTATTCTGCAAAACAACAACAAAAATCTTTTTTTGAAGATTAAGTTTTTCATTGGCACGGTACTATCTGGAATGAACCCAAAAGGCAGTGGAATGTTGGGTCTCTCCTCAACTTTTCCTCCTCTTTTAACAGCATTTAATTACTCTCTATCAATAATCTCATCACAGCCGAGTTCTTCGGTCAGACGATTGACAACCATAAGTGAAAAAAGCTCTTCGATAAAAGCCAACTGATCAAACGGGGTCTTCTCATAATGCATTTGAAACCCGCCATCCAGGGCTGCTTCCCTTGCTCTGGATGTTCTCAGAAACATCTTGTTGGCTTCTTCAAGGGCCGCTGATACTCTGTAGCCCGCACCACTCAGCTGCTCCTCTTCCGGATAATCGTAGTCGTCCTCCCAGTCATCAAATTCCTCGCCCTCGTCCTCGCTCTCGAAGTCAGGGCCCGCGATCAGGCCTGGCTGCTCCCCAGGGCTGGGCCGGTTAGCAAGGCCTCGTTCCCCCTGCGGCTCCGCCATTGGCTGGGCCGCCTCCTCCTCCATTGGGCCTTCCTCCTCGAGCTGTGGCTGGGCCCCGTTGCGGGAGGCGTTCGGGGATGGCTCCCGGCTCCCGCTGCCTACCTCCATCTGCGGAAGGTCACCCTCGCCAAGCATCACATCCATCTGCAGGTCATTGCTCTCTTCATACAGCTCGGACAGCTCGTTCATTTCCGACATTGTACAAGCTGCTCAACCTCTCGAAAGGTGTTTTTGCAAGATCGGAGCTACGCGGCCGAGGGGTTATGCGCGTGCGCAAACGCCGTGCGCCTGCGTGACCCTGTGCGTGTGCGCGACCCCCAAACACCGCCTCCCGTTTGGCGTCCCCCTCGCGGGGGAGGTCCCCGCTCTTCGGAACCGTGGTGTATGTTTCGGTCCTTTGGAACTCCGTTAGTAGACTCTACGTTTAGAGAGTTACGTAATCTCCGCTTTCCCTAACTGTTCTGCGCATTATGATGCTGTAAACTTGAAAATCCATAACGTGGCTTCTGTAACTATGCTTAGTGCTCTTCCTCCCCCTTCGCCCTTCCGTTCTCTCCCGCTCCTTTTCCTCCCGCCCCAGGCAATAGCATCTGCTCCAACTACCTTTGGTCTCATGACTTATGACTTCTAAATCCCCACCTCCAAATCACAGTGTTCTCAACATACTGACCACTGATCCATTCATTCAGCCCTTCTGCTTTCCCCATTAAAAAAAAAAAAAAAAAAGTTAAATTTGCAAATAAGCATATTATCTATCTTTTTAAAAAGATAGTATACTGAAGAAGGACTTGGTTCCATTTATTTTCGCAGGAGGTTAACTTTCCACCATAATCAGTTTGGTGTATATTCTTTAAATTCTTTTCCTCTGCATTTATATGGACCTTTATGTCCTCGTGGAAAAATCTTGTGTGTGTATGGTTTTTTTTTTTTTTTGCAAGTTTTACCTAACTCTTCAAGCTACAAAAAGCACCTCAGCAATGACTTGAAGATTTAGCTTTGTTAGTATACATAGATGAGTCTTTTTTTCCATAGCATTCCATTTGTATAGCTATTCTATAGTTGACCTAACCATACACAAGTGATTTCCGATATTTTGATATGGGTAATGTTTCTATGTGCCAATGTTTCTACAGAATAAATAACCTAGGAGTGGAAAGGCGGAATTGTAGAGCATGCATACTTTAGTTTTAATACATACTGTCAAACTGCTCTCCAAGATTGCTGTACAGATTTCAGCTCCCATCAGCAGTGTTTGAGAATATCTATATCCTTGCCACACACTGTTTTGTTGAGCAATTTTATCAATTTAATGATACCTTGTTTTATTTTCCATAGCCTTGATTTCTTGGAGATTGATTATTTTTCAACATGTTTATTGAACATTTGTGTTACTTATGAAAATTAACTGGCCTTATTTTTGGTTTATTTTTTTTTCTTACTGATTTGTGGGAATTTCTTATAAACTATATGAATACTTTGTTTTACATGTTGCAAATACATTCTCCCTCCCTGTTGTTATTTGTCCGGTTTCAGGTGTCTCTTCTCCTATAAAAGTTTTAAAATGAGTTTTCATGTAAACCCTTCAAATTGAAGGGTTTTTTTTTCCTGTATATCTTTTTTTTTATTAAGTTGGATTTTCCTACTTCAAAGATTACAAGCCTGATCTTTTATTTTTCTTCAATGTTTGCATACATTTTGTTGTTAAAATTTTTTTTAATGTTTATTTTTGAGAGAGAGAGAGAAAGACAGAGACAGCGTGTGAGCAGGGGAGTTGCAGAGAGAGAGGGAGACACAGAATCTGAAGCAGGCTCCAGGCTGTGAGCTGTCAGCACAGAGCGCCCAATGCGGGGCTCAAACCCACAAATTGTGAGATCATGACCTGAGACGAAGTCAGAGGCTTAACGGACTGAGAAACCCAGGCCCCCATGCATAGGTTTTTTGTGGATAAAGCATTTATTTATCTAAGTACGATAAGGGCAGGATTCATTTATATATTTTTTTACACATATACAGCTAATTCAGCCAACTTCACTGATTTAATCACTGTCCTTTGTTGGTTGTTTGGTGTCACATTTATCATATTAAAAGAAAACAAATGTGTGAGTTTGTTTTAGACTTTGTATTCAAACGAATTTCTACAGTGTTACAATATGTCTTGCTGATAAGAAAAATCTTGTGTCTTTGTTTTTTAAAAGATTGCCTTGGGGCGCCTGGGTGGTGCAGTCGGTTAAGCGTCCGACTTCAGCCAGGTCAGGATCTCGCGGTCTGTGAGTTCGAGCCCCGCGTCAGGCTCTGGGCTGATGGCTCAGAGCCTGGAGCCTGTTTCCGATTCTGTGTCTCCCTCTCTCTCTGCACCTCCCCCGTTCATGCTCTTTCTCTCTCTGTCCCAAAAATAAATAAACGTTGAAAAAAAAAAATAAAAGATTGCCTTAACTCTTCTTGCACATTTGTTCTTCCATGTGAATTTTAGAAGTAGCTTGAAAAGTTACCCGAATAATATAGATGGAATTTTTATTTGAGTTGCATAGAATTTACAGATTAATTTGGGGGAGAATTGACATTTTTACAATATTGTCTTCTCATCCATAAAAGTAATATATATCTTTCTGCTTGTTTGTGTCTTATTTATACCCTTCAATGAAGTTTTCCGAAAAGGCTTATGTGATTCTTACTATTTTATACTCAGGTACTATCATAAAATGTACCCCTTACTCCAATACAGTGTCTAGTTGGCTATTGCTGGTATGTGGGAAAGACATTGATGTTTGTATATTGATTTATTTTTAGTAATCACTTTTAGCTGAAATCTAAACATAGAAAACACAAATACAGAAAAGTGAACAAATCTTAAGTGCGCAGTTTGGTTATCACAAAATGGACATATTTGTGTAACCGTTACCCAGATTGAGAAACACGATTTTCAGGATTCCAGAAAACCATTTGCTTTTTCTTTCTTTGCCCTACGAGCACCACCGTTCTGATTTCAAACAGAATAAAATATTTTTGCCTGTTTTTTGAACTTTATATAAATTAAACCATGTAGTATATATTCTTTGTGTGTGTGTGGCTTCTTTTACCCAGGAAATTTGTTTTGTGTGTGTGTGTGTTTGCTACATAGTAGTCCATTGTTTAAATATCACAGTGATCATCATTGGGATTGATTCCAGTTTGGACCTATTACAAACAGGGTAGTAATTATCTTTCTTGGGAAGGTTTTTGGTGCTTGTATTTACGCAATTCTGTGGATCTACATCTAAGAATAGAATTGCTGGCTATCTTATATAAGAATATCTTATACTCTTGTATACATTATGTTAAACATTTCTCAAGACAGGCTTAGCCAATCGGTGCACAGTTGGTATTTTAATGAAGCTTCAAAGCAGTATGACAAATAATTCTCTGTCAGTTGGTCATTACTCTGTGATTTCCAAATAAGCAAGCCTAAAATCTCAAGAGGCAAAATCTCAAGAGAGGTGGTCTTCTCAGCTAACTAATGCAGTTCACTTGGATAGTCTACATCATATTGAAATTCTTAATGTTAGTGCTTTAGTATGCTTTTGGTGATGAATGACTGAAACCCAATTCAAACCAACTTATATAAAATTAAATAAAATAGAAAAAATGCATAAAAACTAAAGAGAGGGGGGAAATGTATTGGTTGAAGTGATGAAACAAATATTACCACCAGATT